CTGTTTGGTTCCACTTAGCATGCTGAGTCTCATTCCCTGAGAGGATTTTTTAAAATTGTTACTTTAAGAATTCCTGCTTTAAAATCATAAAGTAATATACAGGGGGCTAATGGCTTGAATTCTTTTTAAAAATTAGGTAAACAGATAGTGAAGAATGTGGTATTAACCCATTGCAGGTTTTTGTAAAATAGCTGATTTGAAATAATTGATCTTTCTTTTTTCTTTTTTGGTTCCTTCTTCTTCTCTTCTTTCTTTCTTTATTGTTTCACTAATCATAGCCAAGATGAATGGTTTACAAGAGCCTGTACTTAGATTTCTTATTTATTTTTGCTCTCACGGTATAAATCTCATTTTGGCCAAAACTGTCTTGAGATCTGGAAGCAGGAATTGCACAGAAAACTAGAAAGGTGCACATTTTCGATGTCTGACCCTGGTGTTCTGGTCGCCCCAGTGCTAGCATATGTGGCCCAGTGCCTTCCCTGGACAGTTCCAGCGGGGCTTGGAGTCGCTCTCCTTGCCCGGAACCATGTTCGTCTATGAAAACAAACCATTTTCTTCCTTCTAAATCTATAGTTCCCACTCTGTGGGAACCGAAGTGCAGATGGAAAGAGAAATGGAGGGTTATAGGATAGACCCTGGGCGGGCTTGGGGAAAGGGGTGACGAGTCCGTGGAGGGCGTAGGGATGGAGTGACCATCACCCCAGTCACAGTCACGTGGTGGTGCTGGGAGGATTCCAGGTCAAACTGGCCCGCCAGTTAATGGAGGTCCCTTAGCAGAAGCTGCCATGCGGCTGCGCTGTGTTGATACTAGGGGTGCGTGGTAACGGGCATCTCCTCCTTCAAACCCTACATCCAAACCATCGGCACATCCTGGGGGCTCTACATCTCAAACGTATCTAAGGTCTGGTGTTCTCACCACCTCTGCCACTAACACCTGGTCCAAGCCCCCATCCATTCTTCCTTGGATTATCTAAATACCTCCTACCTAATTTCACCCTTTCTGCCTTTGCTGTGTCCATTCTGTGTCTCAATCCAGCAGCAAGAGCAATCTTGTCAAAACCTAAGTCAGGTCATGTCACCGCCCAGTGGCTCAGAGTCAATGTTGGAATTCTCCCCAGGCGTACAGGGCCCCGTGCAGGTCTCTCCTTCCCTCTTCTCTGTCATCATGCCCTTCCTCCTCACTCCCTGGGTCCTGAGGCCATGGTCTACTGCTGTGTTCCTTTTCATCCCGCATGCTCCCGCCTCAGAGCTTTGCTCTTCCCTCTGGCTGGAGCCCTTCCTCTCAGGTCGCCACTGGGGCCACTCCTCTGACTCCTTCACCTCTTTGCTTCCTGGTGAATGCTCCCCGGACACACCTTCAAACCTCGCACCTCAACTCCGCCTTGCTCTACCCCTCTTTCCTGCCTTTTCCCCATCGCACTTGGCACTGATGTATTGTGTATTTTGTTTACTGGTTTATTTTCTGTCCCTTCTTCAGCAGAAGCTGAAGCTCATTTGCTTTCTAATGTGTCCCCAGAATGTAGAACAGTGCCTGGCATATAGTAAGCACAGAATACCTATTTATTAAATAAATGAATGAATAAATTGGTCAATTAAACAGGCTCCCAATAATGACAAAGCGAACAGGATAGAGCTCAGAGGATGTTTGTCAAGAGTCTATGGGATTGTCAGGGTCCCAGTTCATGGGGCTGAGGCTGGGATCTTGGGAAAAACAAAAGCAAATAAGATATTGTCCATATTTCTCAGGTGCGTAGAATGAAGGGGTCACACACAGGGTGCTATCAATTTGTCAGTGAACAGTCCATGCCTCTGGTCAAATAGCTTTAACCCAGCCAGACGCTGGCACTGCAGGACTCCAGCGCTCCTGACAACCTCTGTAACAGTCACTGTCTGGTTCATTCATTCACTCATCCATCCATCAATCCAGCCATCCATTCATTCGATCTTACAACAGTTGCTTGCCCAGTGTCTTTTCAAACCAGCTTTGTTTTGGCTGGATTTTCTGTGCATCACTCCCACAGAACTGTACATCCTTGTGAACAGGAACTCCTACATCTTTAAGTCTTGAGTCTTCCCATTTCATAACATGCTTTGAATGAATAAACCTTGAACAAGAGGTTTCACTTGATTATGCCTTATTTCTTTTTCTTTATAATTCAAACGAAAGAACAATGAGAATGGATAAATGAACAGATCAATGGTCTCAGAATTTTAAACTTAGTATCCAAATCTCCCTAACCAGTGCTGAATACTCTCACAGTGCTGCTTTTGCTAATTTAATGTGTGCACTCCAAGTGAGATGTCTGACCTGTCACCATCAATGCCTTTTGTTTAAGCCTTGGTAAGCCCAAGGCTGGCCCTAACACTGGAAAAGAGGTTTCATTCCTTGCTAGAGTGTTTTTGTCCATTCATCTCACTGACTTGATTTTTCTTTCTTGCTCCATATTGTCCTTGACATTAAATAACGGTATCCTTTCACACAATAAGGTTCTTAAAATGGATATGTTGGTGCTCTTACAAACAGATTTTAATTTCTTACTGTTTGTCTTAGGTCAGGCTGCCATAACAAAATACCATAGACTAGGTGGCTTAAACAACAGAAATTTATTTTCCCACAGTTCAGGATGCTAGAAGAACAAGATCAGGTGCCAGTTTTGTTAGGTTCTGGTGAGGGCTCTCTCCCTGCCTTGCAGACGGCTGTCTTCCCGTGTGCTCTCATGGCCTTTCCTCAGTGTGTGGGCATAGAAAGAGAGAACAATCTATTCCTGCTCTTATAAGGCCACCAATCCTATTGGGCTAAACTCCAACATTATGACCTTATTTATCCTTGATTACCACCCTATCTCCAAATACAGTCACATAGGGCTTCAACATATGAATTTTGGGGAGACACAATTCAGTCCATAACACTGCCCTACATTAAGATACCTGTCATACACAGTAGCAAGTATTGATGGGGTTAATGTCATTGCAACTTTAATTTGATCACAGCTCCAAGCTGTGTTTTTATGTCCCGTCTTTATATTTTCTTCCTCACGTAGCATGTGTTTCAAGACACCACTTAAACCTGCTTCAGGGAGAATGATTTATAGATTAGTCTTGCTTTTGCCCCAATTGTCAAGTTTTTACTTTACTCAAAATCTGGTTTCTTTTATTTTTGTTAAAAAAAAAAAATGGGTCAGTATGGAATCTTCTGTCCCCATTAAACATTTTGTACACATTGTACAGTCCCGTCTCCTTGATCTTATCTGTGGTTGCGCAGATACAAGCTTGAGCTTGCCATTTCCCTCTCTCTCCCTCTCTCTCCCACTGGCCCCCTCTCATTCCCTTCCTCCCCCCTCCACAGAGCTGCCTTCTCCTAATCATCTGGGTTTCTGTTTAAAAGCTTCAGAGAGGTCTTTGACTCTGTACCGGCACCTATGAAGTCAGTCATACCACATCACCTGTTTTCTGTCTAACACCTAAGACTACTGCTGTTTTGCAGATGGGGAAACTGAGGCTGGAGAATGTAAGGGATTCGTCCACAGTTGTTCAGTTTCTGAGCTGCAGAGAGAAGGCCTGAGAAGTGAGGGTGTGGCTCAAAGGGGTCTGGTTAACTGGCGCCCCCCTCATAAAAAGCAAGACAGCAGGTCATTTGACTTTTATCTTTTCAAAGTCTTTTCCAAGTTGCCCTCTCTGTCTTCATTTCTGTCTTTACCTTGTCGACAAAGCCCATCGGGCAGAGTGATGGGACAAGGATGGGAAGGGGGGTGGAGCATTTTGTCAGATTTAGCAAATATAAATGCAGAAGCACAGCTAAATTTGAGTTTCAGATGAACAATCAATTTTTTAAGAATAAGTATGTCCCATGCAATATTTGGGACTTACTTATGCTAGACCATTATTTGTATTTCATCTGAAATTCAAATTTAACTGGACATCTGTATTTTATCTGGCTCCTTTGGCCAGATGGCTACTCTACAACTACAAGCATCCTGTGAATAAGGGTCACTAAGCTCTAGGATGGTGAGTGTGCTTGGGAAAGAAAGCCGACAATAAAATCACATTGACCTCCATTGTTTTATTTACTTTAGTGACCTTTTGATGTTCTTTGAAAATAAAAATACCACCATAAATATTCCAAAGTGCATATATATTTTACTTTGGAAACTCTGACTTTATCAGCCCAGTTCTTTTGACTTCCTGTGGATTCACAGCACTTGGTATCTAGCCCAGAGGAACTAGAAAATCACATAGCTTCCTCACTCGTGCAGGACTCATGTCAGGGTAAACTCGAACAAGCTATTTAAGCTCTCTTTTTGCTTGGGTTTCTTCATCTGCATAAGGGAGATAATATGAGCACCTACCTTGTAAGGTTGTTGTAAGAAGTAAATGAGAAAGTACCTGCCATGTAGTAGACACTCAAGAAGTATCAGCTTCCTTTTTCTTGCCTGACCACCCTGTTCCTGGGACTGGACAGCATCGCTTCCGACACCACTGCAAAATACTAGGCCGAATAAATAACACAGACATTTCTCTTCATTAATACACAGAGACCAGCTGAGCCACGTCCTTGTCATAACTCCTAATGATGATTAATCAATTGATTCAATCACTCATTCGACAAGTATTTATTGAGCCGCTAACGTGTGCCAGGCATGTAGTGTTCTCTGAGTTGGGGAGAGAGGGTAAACTGGCAGAGTTGCCATTGTTCCCAGGAGAATTGCTTTTATTATATTGGGGGGTGGCAGATAATGAACAAATAAGCAGGGAAAGGTACTATATAGTATATGGAGCAAGCAATTAGGGCAAATGGCGTGAAACTGAGTATTGAATTTGGTTCTGTGGAGCTCGTTGCTGACCTTGATGACAATCTTTTGTTCCCTGAAGGTTGTTGGAGAGAACGGGAGGAGGAGGAAGCTGAGAAAGGAACTTAGCTAAAAAGGGGAGCAGAAAATGAGCGGCAGCTGAAGGGGGCTGTGGTTTTAAAGCCTTTTAAGGCTTTTTGTTTGTTTTCACAGGAGCGCCTTTTGTATGCTGAAAGGAATGGCCAAGCGGGGAGGAATGGATAATGCACATGGTAAAGGACAACTCCAGGGCTGAGTCTTGACAAGGTGAGGGGGAAGAGACTCCCCAGGCCTGGCCTTGGCTCAGGCAGGACCTGTGACCACCACAGCGGAAGGGCAGGCTGAGGACACGGGGCTCCCTCCATTTGGCAGTGGCAGGTTGGAACACTTCTCTACTTTCTCAGTGAGATCAGACATAAAATATTGCCTTTCCTTTCTCTTCTCAATAATTATTGATCATCGATAAGTTGAAAATATTGAAAATAATTATCGATAGGAAATTATAGCTTCCTTGTTTCTATCAGGCCCTCACTGAGCACCCCCAAATACTCTAGGATATAACCATGGTCTCCCCACTGTCCTGTGGGCAGTGGGACTCTGAGCTCTTTTAATTTATTCACAGAGAGCTCTTTCCAGCTCACCAGGCTGCAGTGCTGGTACTTGGACGTTTTTCACCCATCACGTGTTTCTCCCCATTGAGATAAACTTCTTCCAGAAGAAGCTGCCCATCTTGACAAGTCTGTTTCCAGTCTGTGCTCCACTGCACAGCCAGACCTGAAAGTGACGGGAACTGACAAACTCTCTGAACTTGTCCCATTGGATTTGTCTAATGGGCCTTTCCCTGACATAGATGAAAAAGTCATTGACAGAAACAGACCATTTACCGTGAACCTGAGCAGAGGTATAAGCAGCGACAGATAAAATAGGGCTCGAAATAAAAAGCTGGGAAACTCAGGCCACATACGATGGACCCAGGGAGATCTCTGCTTTGAAACGCGAAGACGAAATGGATGGCATTGGGTTCTGCAGCCCCAAGTCACCACCCAGCTGGTGCCGAGAAAGCCAAGCTCCCGCGCCCGTCTCTCTCCCTGCGCCACTCCATGCAGAAGCTGCTAAGTGTGACCTGGGGTCAGGGGTGGCTTTCAGCAATCCACTCCAGGCCTGAGGACTGAGTTCTCTTTCCAAAGAAAAGCAAAAATGTGGTATTAAAAATTTTGCAGCCATTTAGAAATTCTAGTCTGCTGGCAGAATTCATGTTGAAGAAAGCTTTCCAAACAGAAGAGTCACATCTTAGGAGCGATATTTTTAGGTTCTATAATCAACACCTAACGTGAACATCATATAAACTCAGAATTACCCTTGAAAAGCCCTTACATCACCCATACAACATGCAACCCTCTATTCTAATTTATATTCACACTGAAATTTGAAAATCGTTGCACTAGATTAAATGAAAAAAAACAGGAAGGGAATCTGTGTGCAGATGTCTGGCCTCAGACCATTCTGCCCTTAAGGCAGACATCAAATACCAGGCTTTGAGTGAGCTCAGGACAATTCCAAGCATCTGTGTTGGACCACAGGTTTTACTTTATTCTTTTTTAATATTGAGGCTCGACAGCCACTATAGATGGTAAAGGATATGTTTGTCATTGTGATGATTAAATGAAATAGTGGCAATGCATCAAACTCAGGTTAGGACTAAAGCTTGTGTGTTGATTAATGCTGAAATAATACCACCCCACTCTGTTTTTCTATAAGAAAAATCTTTAGATAATTCCATGGCTACATAAAGGTAAGGTCTAGGTCTCCTCTAAAAGGAGTTGGTTGGCTGAATGAAGAGTCAAAATTGCTTTATAGTAGTATTAAAGCAATTAGTTTATTAAACACTTAAGGAAAATTAAAAATGCAGCCAGAATAGGAGAGTCCTATGCCAAAAGATGGCTAACAGTTTTCAAAAGGGAAGAATAAGATATCTCCGGTATCCGCCCATATTGGAGTGTGGAAACTAGAACTTTGGGGAGAGGAGATGGAAGATCAGAAAAGGCTTTGAGGAAGAATAGAGCCAACTGCTGGGCCATAAACAGGGAGAGAGGACCAGTTATGGGAGCCCCATGATTAGACAATGCTGAATACCCAGGGGAGCAGAGATATCAGGCCTCGACTTTTGTTTTCCTTTTCTAGCTTTGGAAATTCCTTTTGATCTTCTCAAGACTTTGGTAGAGTCAGTTACCTGCCTCAGCCGTGTGTCGTAGGGAACTGTGAAATGTCTCAGAGCTCAAGAGGAGGAATGTGGTTTACCCTTCCTAGGACCACCCTTTCCTCACAAGCTGGAAACTGCATATTAAAGGCAAATGGTCAATGCACATCCAAGGAGCCGATCAACAGCAAAACCATCAGAGAAGTCCAAGGTGGAGCAGAGACAGGAAATTAAGAGTTAGGCAAAGTGGAGGAAACAGCTACAGGACCCGGTGGAAGAGAAGACTGAACCGGAAGTCCTCTCTCCCAAATATACTGGATCTGGAGTCGCTGACTTCAGGAGCCAACCAGCAGCGTTAATGATCGAACCGGCTTTGATCATTTTAGTGCATTTAGTTTAGTGCAAACTTACTGCTAGGCTCTCTCTGCTGCGATTGTAAACTTCACATCTGCTAAGTTACCTTAGCTTTTAGAACCTTGTGGGGATGAGTCAAACAGGGAAAGAAAACACCTTTTTGGGCTTCCTACTCCCACAGGCTCCCAGGCTGCAGCCCCAGAGCGAGGGAAGGTAACCCCCTAAAGCAGAAGTGCCACTCTGCTGTGATGTGGATTGGGCTTCTGCCTGTTGTTCTTGTTTTCAAGCCAAGTCCCGAGAACTAGCACTGCATGTTCACCCTGCCAAGGGGGATTTACAGCCGAGGGCCCTTGGAGACTCTCCAGAGCAGCATCTCTGTCTGCCCCGCCGGACACAGCTCAGTCTCTGGTCACTGCAGAAAAGACCAGAGATCCGCTCTGTTCATTTAGTGTCTGGTGGCTTTAAAGGAGATGTGCACTCGTGCTTCTGCCAGCGTTTCTTGGTTTGCCACCACTGCGGCTGGCTCATCTCTGTCTTGGTCTGGGCTTTCCTGAAAGCAGAGTGTCAGTCAAGGATTGACTACAGGTGGTTTATTTGGGAGGTGATGCCAGGAAGCAGGAGTGAGGCGTGGGGAGAGTGAGGCCGGGGAGGAGGTAGAGCTAACACCCAGGTGAGCTGAGATGTCTGCTGTGGGCACCAGAAAGGGGCCCAGCATTAATCTATTGGCTTGCCGTGGTTGGAGGTTGGGGGAGGGGACATTAACTTCTGTGTGAATCTCCTAGATACTCAGAGAAGCCCTGAGGCAGAAAACCTGAGAGAGCCTTAGAGCAAGCTTGGGTAGGCGTGTCCATGTGAGTCTGAATTCAGGTAAGGGGCTTGATGCAGGGCATTGAAAGCTTCCGCTACAGTCTCTGGTGAGAGACAGGACCCACCCTGGGTGTGCCGGTATCGGGGTGCTGCTGACTTGGCCTGAGTATGGCTCCCTGACCCCTCTTTTGCCTATTCCTTGGACAATGGGAGAATTGCTTCACCACTTATGCCCAAGGATGCCTGTTCTACACCGTTCTCCTCCTCAGTTTCCTAACTCACACCTCAGTCTCCCACGTAAGAGCAGCAACACAGCGAAACTTAGTTCCCTCCTCCCTCCCCCTTTACCTTCTGTGGGCCTCTCCTTTTCCTCTTTCTTCTCTTCCTCACTAGACATGATCATCTTAAGTGCAAGTCCTTAAGGCTTTTATCTTCTTCTGCCCCACGTCCCCAGGTGTATCATTGGGTCCCCACTCCCAGCTGTCACCTCTGTGTCGCTGCCACCATCGGGATATCTCCAGGTGGGGTTCTCTCTCCAGCTCTGGGCCTGTGTTGACAGTCACCCACCTCAGAATTTCCTGGCAATTTCTATGCTAATGCAAGCTTGAGAACCTCCCCTCTAGTGTGAAATGCCCCACGATGAGTTGGACATTTCTTTTTTGGCCATGTTCCATCCACCCCTACTCACCATGTCAAAAAGTGGCCCTGCCTTCTACTCCCAGTGCACAACTTTCTCGTTCTTCCCAGTGTCCCCCTACCCCTTCCAAAAGAAAGTGCTCTGACTCCATCTCTGTTTGCGCTACTATCCACTTATGTCTGCTTGTATTCAGAAGCCTGGCGCCACACTGAATTCCTCAGTCTCCTTGGAAGTGGGTGTTCACAGGCCACAGTGGGGGTCCGGCAGAAGCAGATTGCAAGGTGCACAGTCACGCGCGCTAGGGCTGCAGCCACACAGTGGGGCTGTGAGTCATGATGCCAAGCTGGAAGGATCAAACCACTCCCCACCTGACCATGAAGGAACTGAAGCCCGGAGAGATGCAGAGCTTTGACGAAAGTCACACGGCCGGTTCATACCAGAGCCCAGCCTAGTGATCATGCTCTGCTTTCCTTCCCAGAGCCCTTTCTACAAAAGCGTCATTGAACAAGCAGCCTTTAAGGGCAAGCAGCAGAGTACAGAGTTCAAACCGGCTCAGACAATAATGGGAAGTTATTTCATATAAATGAAAAGCTTAGAGGTACCTGACTTCAGGCAACATTTGAACCAGGAACTTAACCTTTGAACCATTTGAACCAGGAACTTAAATACGTCAACAAGTACAGGTAGGTGGAGAGTCTGGTTAGCCTACCCTATACCTGCGACCCCTGGGATTGTATGTAGGACTCAGACAGGAAGGAGGGCTGTTGAAAGGGGAAATGGAGGCAACAGATGCCTAACAGAGGCCAACAAAGAAATTACTACAAAATCCCAAAGGGGACAGAGGTATGTGATCTGGACCGTGTCCATTTAGGCATGGGTGGAGGGCTGGTTTGGGGTAGATGCTGAAAGGATTATAAAAGCCAGAAGGAGCTCTGGGAATTTTTGCTTGACAACTGGTCTTGGATAAATAATTCCTGTGCCCTGAATATTCTTCCTATCAGGGTCAGAGGCAGGGCTGCATTCTTAGGGTGACCTGGGACTCCCACCAGAGAGCCAGTGTGTTGGACAGCTCTGCTATTTCTAGGGTGTTGGGGGAGGGAAGGAAGGCTGGGAGAACTGTCCGGCCAGGAGCAGGACCCTCCCTTTGGGCAGCTGTCAGTTGTCAGGACCCTGGTCTCTATCCTCTGGTCCTTGCAGTCAGTAAGCCTGTCAATTCTTCACAGCATCGGTCTCACCTGTCTCTTCCCCTTCTCACCACGGCCAAACCTCAGCTCAGGTGTGAATTGTCTTGTGCCTGGGCCCGGGCCAGGCTCTACATACAAGTTTGGCTCCCAGTCTTGCTCCCCCCCTGCTCTGATGCATCCTGTGCCCGGGTACTCACCTCTGACACCACTTTTGATATAACAAAATTCTCCCACTCCAAAGCCTCCGGTGAGCCCATACTGCTTTTAGGACCTGGTCCAAGCCCCTCATCCAAGCTCAGATATCACCTCCTCTGAGCCCTCTTCCCTGAAGTGATCATTCCCATTCCCATTCTGAAACCCAATAGCACAGAGTGTCTGTCCTGCTGGCCTGCTCAGTTGGCACTGAGGAGCTTTTCCAGCTGTCCATAGTTAATTATAGTTTGTGTGTCGTGTCTCTTTACTCTGACAGTGTTATCCTGGAGGACAGAGATTTACGTATCTAACTATCCTCAGTATATAGCTCTACTCCCTGTACATAGCAGATAAACAAATAGTATTAATTCCTTGGAGTTAGACTCCTTAGCTCTGAATCTTGGCCAGTTTAGACTTCCTTATTCTAATATTTTTAAACCTCTAGAAATGTCAGTTTGAATTATGAGATAGGAAGAAGATAAATGAAAGATATTTCCCCACCCCATTCTTGCAATTATTTTTCCTCATCTGCTTGAGTATATATCAGCATGAATGTCTACCTCTGACTTAATTTAACCAGAAGGTGCTCTAAAAACCTAAGCAATGTACATTCCTAGCATTCAAATGGGCATATGGATTGAAATATCAATTGTGTCATGTCACCAGCATGCTGGGCTCAGAGGAGTGTTTCAAAAAACAAAACACGCACACAACATGGGTTTAGGGGTCAGAAAACTTTAAATGAGAGTTTTTAAAGCATTAAAAATGTCACAGGAGCTCTCTCTCTTGACTCTTACTCATTTAACTATCCTGTAGTTATGAGGCCAAAATTCCCATGCTGAGGGGTCTCAGTGCTCCTTGTCCCTGAAGAGGGTTGGGTGGGGCTGAGTGGGTGGTTGGGACTGTCCTGAGCAGGGATAAGTTTCCAGTGGTGCAGGCAGACACTTTGGGAATTAGAGAATGACCCTGCCCCTCCTTCAAGTGACTCTTGGCTGGGGCAATGGTGACGTGGTCACTTCATGGGATCTGGGGTTGTCCTGGTGAAGGAAGGACACGGAATGAGGGGAGCCAGGTGCACACCTGCCACCTGGAGTTTTTCCTGCAACTTGGGTTGGTCAAATGCCGAATCCCAATTTATGTTCAAAATAAATGAAACCTCGTTCTGTTACCAAAATAGACTGCCCAGGTGTGATATTGATAATGAGAGGCCAGGCAGAAGCTGCCTTCGTGCAAAGGCTTGGGCTGCCACAAACGAAACTCAAAGCATTAATAGGCCCCCAGGGCAGTCACTGTCACTGCCCCCCTCCTTCCCCAGGGCAATGATTGACTGGACATGAATACTTAAAGAAAAAGACCTCTTTTCTGTTGCTACTGCCTGAAACACTGTGGGATTGTTTGGTCTTGCCTTTTTGGGAGAGATGGGGTGGTGCCTGGGGATGGGCAGAGATCTAGCAGGGGTAGATCCTGTGCCTTCCTGTGTCAGAAGCAGGATCTGTGTTTGCTAAAATGCTAATGCAGACACAGAGACTAAGGTATTTGGTCCTATGATGCAAAAGAAATCATAACGGTTGTTATGGGATGAATTGTGTCCTCCCCAAATTTGTGCATTAAAGTCCTAACTCCCTGGACCTCAGGATGTGATGGCATCTTGAAATAGGGCCTTTAAAGAGATATGAAGATAAAATGAGGACATATGGGTGGCCCCTCATGTACTATGACTGGTTTCCTTACAAGAGGAGGTTAGGAGCCAGACAGACACAGAGGGAAGACCGTGTGTAGACATCAGAGGAAGGTGCCATGCACAGGCCAGAGAGAGATCCTTAGAAGAAACTAGGCCTGCTGACACCTTCACCTTGGACTTCCAGCCTCCAGAACTGTGAGACAATGCTTTTCTGTTGTTTAAGCCACCCAATCTGTGGTACTTTGTCGTGGTAGCCCTATAATTGTTAAGAAGGAGCAGAGGGAGACAGACTTAAAGTGGAGAAGCACAACGTCTGGGCAGCCCTGAGTTTTATTATGAATAAATAAAAGACAGAATTCATTCATTTCTCAACCACACACTTTCAGTTCAGACCCTTAGTGGGTGGCACATGGCACCTGGGAGAGACCCTCTGTGAAGTGTGCCGGGCGGGCTTACCAGCTTCTGGCCACCAGCCGCTGGGACCCCATCCCTGGGAAGCAAGGCTAGATCATGTGATCCACTGATCACTGAACACTTAGAAACAAACACTGGAATTAAATAACTATTATCTTTTCACATTTCCACCAGACCTAACCTTGCACAGCCAATGTTACCTCTGAGCTGTAAGTCTGCGGCTCTTGTATAACCTTGGTTTCAATTGTGAATGTTCAAACTAGATAAAATATTTAATGTCCTTTTATTGTCCCTCTCAGCAACACACAAGGTCCTTGTTGGGCTCACACATGGAGCATGGACAAGTGGCTCTTCACTTAGCTGCTCTCACAAGCTGCTTTGCAAATGGCTGTGGCAGGTGGCAGTGCACGGGGAAGGGCTGTGGTCTGTCCCCCGGGGCTCGGCTGAGTGTCTCTGGCGAAAGTGCTATCTCACAGCCCCGAGGAGCCTGAGCTTCAGCCCCCGCTCAGTCTTGAGCTTATTTCTCCCTCCTGACTCATGTCTGCTGCCTCATTTGAGTTACTGTGCAAATGTTTAGCCAAGAAGCCATAGCAGGCCGCGTGCTTATTTACGACTGCCTCCGGAGCGTACAGCCCAGGCACCGAGGCGGCGTTCCATGCCTAGCCTCTGGTCAAATAAGGACAGAGCGAGCCACGCCTTCCTTTCCTGGCAGCGAGGCATGTGCAGTTAGAATGCCGTGTGCTGGGCGCAAGAGCCTCCCCCACGCGGCGACTCCTTCTTAGCTCCCCAGTGACCCCAACGTTGTAAAACCATAAATTAGCAGAAAAGGACAAGGACTTGCAGAGTCCAAGCCCTTGTACCATGACTAAGGATGCTGGGGGAGGAGAAGGCTTCTTGTTCCCCTTTCTGGGCTTCCTGTCGGAAGTTGATTGTGCATTCTCATCCACCAGTCTAAGATAAAAAATGCTTTTGCCATTGTGCATGTCCTGTTTGTCAGCAAGGAGCCTTCTAGAAAAAAAACTCTCAAAGAAGGGCATGAAACAATGCAGTCTAAGATACGTGTGTGTGTGTGTGTGTGTGAGTGTGAGTGTGCACACATATGCACACACGCCCAATAGGAACCCAAAGGAATGCAGACATGGCTGCCATCCTGTGGAATGGCCACAGCAGAAACCAGCCTCAATGGGGGATTTGGAAATAAGGGTGGCTGGGCAAGGTCTCTCATTGTAAGAGACGTAAGGTGTGCTTGCAATTAACCAGAAAATTGGAATTTGCTCTCTGCAAATCCTCCTACTCCCACCTTCCACCCCCCCCCCCTTAACCTTGTAAGGGACAAAAATCTCCCTAGAATGAGTCCCTGGCCCGGAGGAATTTACAATCCAATGTGGTGGTGGTTGGGGAGTGTACAGTTAAACATAAAGGAGTTCATTGACAATTCAAGACCAAAAGAATAGCAGGGACAGTCAGCACTGGCATGGAGTCTGGTGACCAGATGAGTCAGACCCTTCCAGAAGTTCTGATGGTTTGCTGCTCTGTTTGCTTAATAAACAACAATCTAGTGTCTAAGCAGGTAGACCTCCTGCGTGCAGGCCCCCAGGGAGAAGGGTGTGTGTGTGGGGGAGTAGTGTCAGCTGTGGCTTTGCCATCCACTAGCCCCTTCCTGGAGCTCAACCCCTGCATAGAACAGGCCCGATGCCACCAGCTCTGTGCTTGAGGGGTGATTAGGAGGAGAAAGCAAACAAAATAAGGGCAGGATGGTGCTTGCTGCCCGCGCCCCAAGTGGTTTACGAGGCATTTGAAGGCAAGAGGGTAAATGATCTTCTATTTCCTCACAGAGGACCCTATACATTAGTGCTCAGCAAATATTTACATGACCGAGATGGGGAAGGCTTTAAAGGAATCCCTCTGGGCTGGGGAGGGAGGATGCTTCTTCATAAGGTAAATATTTATAGCTAAAATGAAAGAGCAGAAGGAAAAGGAAATAGGCCGTGGGGCTCCCTAGGCTTCCCAGAAATATCTCCCTCTCTCTGGGTTCTTTCTTTTTGGAGACGTTTCTTTCTGTCGCATCCTCTCCACCTCCCCCCAACTCCATACTACCTGCCGCTGCTGCCGCCTGGTTTCCAGGGAAATTCTCTCCTCCACCCTCATTCACAGCCGCCCCCAGGGGTCCAGGAGCCCCCACTGCCGCCAGCTAGGTGAAGTGAGAAAGGCTCCTTCTCTTGGGAGCTGCTCCTCTACACTTTTTAATCAGCTTCCATCCAGTGCTGTCGGGTTTCCGAACACACATGCTTTCTCACTGACACGGGCGCTTTCACAGCTTGGATAACAAGGGCCGCTCTGCCTGGCCGCCCTCCCCACCTGCCTCTGCAGCGCCCCTCTCCCCTCCCCCGCCTCCCAGCCACTTTATCTAGAGAGCAGCGCTCAGGGCCACTGGAGAAGTCCCCGCACGCATGTCCTTAGGGACAGTTGGGAGGCCTCACAACTTGCACACAGCTCAGACCTCGTGGGCAGTGTGGCTGCCAGTGCTGAGCTGCTTGCGTGTATATCCGTGGATACATTTGGAAAGAATCCTTTTGGGAGGAAGGAGGTAGAAAAAGGAGGACAAAAGAGGACAAAAGCAGAAAGGTGGTCAGCTCAGGACCATACTTCCTTATTGTTCATTTCCAAATGAGATGGCAAGGCTCTGTGAGTCCATAGGGGTTGTGTCTGGCATGAGTCAGCAACCAGGACAATCTACTGCCAGTTGATTAAATTAGCATTTGTTATAAGCCAGCAAGGGAAGGGGGATGTTGTGTGCAGGGATAGATGGAGAATGAAGAAAATCTTCTTCATGCCTTTTGAATTATTTATGGCCTGGAACTTTACATGCTAAAGCCTAACTGGACTTGATAGAGAGGAGCCAGGAGGGACTGTCTATTCCCTTAAAGCCACAGAGCACATTCTTTGGGTTCCCTTGGAGAACTAGGAGAGTGCTAACAATGACAGACTATAGTGGGGAAAGTGGAACTCTCTTAATTTTATTATGACCTTGAAAACAGAAATGCTGCACGGAAATCCTGCCGCTATAAGGCACAGGAAGACCTAGCTGTCTTAGTAACCTTTTGAGCGATGGACATGAACACGTGGATGCATTCCACTTTGATTTTACCAAGTGGTAACGCGATGACTGTCAGATCACTGGACAAAGGATAGGTCTCTTCAATCTTCCCTTCTGGCTTCCAGCCAGATGGGAGAGAAACAAAGACGCCTCTGAAGCCTCTGCTTTGCCTCCCCTCCCCCCTCCTTCCTTCTCTCTCCTCCAGCCTCACCGCTTAGGACTTGGGTGGAGTCTACTGACTGCTCCTACACTTTGGGAAATCATGCCTAATTGTTTAGAGTGTAAAAATGCAGTGATTTTTATCTCAGAAAGTGGCCCTTCCTTTGGGGAGACGGGTGGATGCAGAGGAGAGCGACCTCCACGCTGGCGTGCCTGCTGCAGGGAGCCGGGCACTGTGTGGTTGTGAGCGTGTTAACATACCCGGTGCGTCCGGCTGTGGGTACCAGGGCGGCCTGGCCAGCATCTTTTGTTCTTGGCTCTTCCGACTGCTGGGAGCAGCAGGACAGCCCACACGCCCGCCCAAAGGAGCTGCTGCTGCTCAGCGTCAAGATCTGAGGCTTTTGTCTGCGAGCCCCAGCGAAGAGGCAAACTGTTGGTGTCCTGCTATAGACTCACCGTCTGCCTCCAAAATAGCTTCAGGACACGGCTGCTGCTTTTCAGCTGGGCCGCTGCCTGTGGAACACCTTGTTATATCCAAGGTTTGCTCTGAACTGAGGCATTCAGAGGCGTGTGACTCTTTCCTGAGAGATATGGGAAGAAAGCAGTAAGGGAAGAGTGGCCGAGTGAGGGAAGGACAAAAGCAGCATGGCAGATAACAGGGACTAGAGCCATACAAAGAACTGGGATGTGTGCTTTGGCGAAAAAGCAGGCAACACAGCCATTTCCTTGCTTTGTCACTGCTGGCTCAATTTACTCATCATATAAATACATTAAAAAATGAACTGAGTCCAAGACTGACCCTGTAGCAAGAACTGAAATGAGTCATTTCTTCCAGCCATTAGTAAAAGTCCTACATTTCTACCTATATAAATGAAACAAAGCAGGTGGTGTCTGCCGCAGTCCTGGTGTATGCAAAATGAGGAAACGATGAGCACTCACAAGTTTATGATGGAAAACAGAAAGGATCACGATGTTGAACTTGAGCGTGGGGTCTCCCCAACTCCAAAAGGGGATCCATGCACCCCAGGCCACCGGGAAGGGTTTGATTCCCACAGCTCAGATACCACGCGTTGCCCACTGCTCCCTTAGCTACCAGAAGTAAATTGAGGTCAATTTCATAATTTAGGCAAAACTTCCCTTTCACTGGATTTACTGAGATATTTCAGGCAAATGCAGATTTCAAAAAAAAAAATTAAATAGCAGAATTTGAGTTGGGGAACTCATTAAAAAGCAGTGAGACTTACTGTATTGCATCAATTATAAACAATTTGGAGGAAAGAGAGGTTGCTTTTTTTCTTTTAAAGAAATTATCTGGAAAATTACCCAGATCTTTGCTTCCTCTTTTTAGATGAGATCTGGACAGACTGTGTTAAATACAATAACCTCATTAAGATGGGTTTAGATGATAAAACCAGGAGAAGAAACCAAGAAGCCCAAACTCTATCCTCTGGCTTACCTCCAACTAGCCTTGCCTCTGAGAAGTCAGCTCCTCTCTCCAGGCACTACTATCTTTTTTTCCCCTGCTGAAATGGAGCCAACCCCCTTTGCCACTTTTCTCCTTTATAGGAATGCTCTAAAAATTAATATTCACTGTGAAACTAAGAAAGCCACAGAGGAATGGTCTTATCTCAATATGAAGCATTATGTGTTTTGTTTTGCCTGCCACTCTGAGTTGGCATTGATATCTTGTTCAGAATCTTTCTAAAAAACTCCCTTCTTTTTCTGACCCTCTGTGACCATTAATGATGGGAAACAATTACTGGACCAAATTCAAGAAAGGAATATTTTTGCCCGCCCATCAACTCAGCCAATAGGGGGCTGAAAGTGACTAGGAGCATTTTAAGTGGTTCAATGAATGTACTGTATGGGCTATGGACTATCGAAGGAGCTTTAGTTGCTGCAAATCTTATCCTTCCTTCCCCCAGGTCTTTCTTAGTGTTGAAATCGGTATAAAGAGGAGGATGGAGATTTGAGTCTTTAGGATTTGGTGTGGGGAGCGATGCTGAGGAGGAATGTGACTTTACTCACTAAATATTTCTGGAATGTATCCACAGCCTTCTGTCCCCCACAACCCACCCTGATTCAGGCTCTTATTTTCTCTTGTCTAGATGTCTGAAGTAGCCTTGGAATTGGTCCTCATGACTCCAATCTTATCTGCTAAGCAATTCTCCCCACTGCCGCTGAAAGTCCATCCAGAAAGCAGGCTTTGCTATGTCGGTGCCACCACTGTCCAGAAAATACAGTCCCAGCTCTCAAGATGAAGGGACCTGCATGTCCTGTTGACACCTTGGCTACCCGTGTCTCTAGCTTCAGCTCCCGCCATTCCCTGCCTTATGGGTTCTTGTTCAACACCAGCAAACCACACACTCTTTCCCTACATGGACTGGGCTACTTTTTACCTTTGGGTCTTGGCTCATGCTGTCTTCTCTGCCAGGACAATCTCAAAGCAAGCAGACAAAGACAAACAAAGGAGCTCCGGTAGCTCCTTGCTCATCCTTCGGGACTCAAGTTGTGTGACACATGCCTGTCCCCTTTCTCCCCGCCTGTGTATTTCTCTAGGGTTGTATGATCATCTCTGAATTGTCACCCATGTGCTACCCTGGGTACGGCTGTAACTAAACTGACATGTAAGGTTTTATGGATCTTTATATATGCTTGTCTCCCACTAAACAGGGAGCTCTCTGAGGAGAGAGAACCTGTCATTTTCACTTCAAAGTCTTGAGCAATGCCTGGCTCAGGGAGGGATCCAGTACATAGCTACATACATACTTCTGAAGCAGCTTCTATGTGGAAGACACACATGTGCCCTGTGTTTAGAGAAAGTTCCCGATACTAGGATGTTCAGAGAGAAAAACTCTCTAATAAGTATATCAATGTATACTTGAGCGAATTCTTTATTTTTATTTGAATGAATGATCCAGATTTATGCAAATAATTAGTTGTGGGGGGAACCCGATGTCAACAGCAGGCCATCTGGCAGTGTGACGTTATGGCAGGTTGCTTCTCTTTGCTGCCACCACCCTGGGGCCTGGGGCTTTCTCTGGCTGTGGGCTTGGGTGTAGAGACCTCCCCCTTCTCTGAAATTCTCCGCCTTGTATTCTGTTGCCATGGCAACAACCCACTTTCATTCTGGACTTGCTGCACGGGAGAGGGGAACCCTTTACTACAATGGCATAAGTGATGAGTGTTCTTAAAAAATATAAGTTGACAAGGTTAATCATCAACACATTATACTAGTTCCACAGATTCTGACTTAGTGATAGGATAGTTTCTTAGGTGTTTCTGGCTGTACCAAAAATGGATTAGCTAGAAGAAGAGGAGATTTGGTGTCCCCTTTGTTTAAATGTCTAACTGTCTGCGTGCCTGTGGTGATTTTATTTTTAATGCAAAAATTATTTTTGTTGTCTTTATATGGAAAACTTGTTTTCAGTCAATCCAGTGTATCAAAGAAAGAAGCAAAATTTCTAGAAGGTAGTCTGAATGATCTTGCAAGGCATGGAAGACTGGGATAAACAAAGATACTAACACCTGTCCAGGACTATGACAAATCTGCTCAAATCTGTTAAGAGATTCTGTGGAAACATAGTAACGTGTCATTTAAGTACTTTTTAAAAATAGAGTCAGCTAAAAAAAAAAAAAGAAGAAGAAATTGCTTGCAGACTTGCTTTTTAAACACCTTCCTATACTCAGGCAAGCAAGTGCAGATACGTTTTGTATTGTAGGAGCCTAGTTTATTGTTCGGTGACAGCAGAAGCTTCACACAGAGATGCCCCGTGCGCTAAGCAGGATGTCCTAGCCTGGCTCTGTGAGCCCTGGCCTCTTGTAGCACAACTCTTCCCTTTTCTCCCTGAGAAATTGAGATTCCCTTTCTTGTTCCAATGAACTTCCCCTGGCCTAGGCTGCATTCCTTTTCCCCTCCTTACCCAGGCAGATTCTCCTTCCTGGTTTTCGGCTTTTACCCCCAACACAGACAGAGGAAGTGGTTTATTTAAGAGAGAGGTGTCTGCTGAGTTTCAGCGTGTGATGGTGTGGTTCTCTGCCCCTTGCCTCCTCCCGCTGCCCGGGCTCCCCTTTGATCAGACGTGCCTTGCAACACAGGCCCATTTGTCTTCTCCTGGAGGAGCCAGACAAGATTCTCATTTATTCACTCGCAATCAGCTATCGCCATCTCACAGGGACACATGGCGTGTGCGAGCACTATTACACCAGGGACGTCCTCGTATGCTCCGGCACAGGCTGGAGGGGTGGGGATTTGACTGGCAGGCTTATCTGTGACAGAATTGATCAGGAGATAGTTCTGACAAATACAACGATGATACTGTGCTTACTGGGCATCGCTCTCAGTGGCTGCCTGGGCCTGGCCTTGCACAGGCCACTCTCCCCTTTTAGCTCCTGTGACTCAGCATGTAGCCTCAGCTGATTGGGCTGGAGTGGGGGGCACCCAGAGGACTGACCCAATGGACTTTTGGGTCCACTGGGATTCTGAACTAAGAGATCGAATCAGATAGTGAGCAATGGGAGGCTGGAATAGTCACAAGGGGCCACATCCAGGCTGAAGGCATGAGGGTACAGGAACTAAGAGTAAGTGGGAGCCACACAGAGCATAGAGGGAGGAAACACCAGTCAATAGAGACAGTAGGAGTAGAGTAGTAGTAGTAGACCAGTAGTATCAGAGACAGATCAGAGTAGACACACGTAAAAGAGGGAAGCAAAATGCTGAGAGAGACAGAGAAGTGGAGGGAAGGAGGAAAGCAAGAAACATGGAGGGACAGGGAGAGGGAGAAGGGTAGGATGGAGAGAGAAGAGGAGGATTCCGAATCTGCTTCACTTCCATTCAGGTTCCTCTGGGTTAGCACAGACAAGTACCTAAAGGAACATTCCTTGGAACAAGCCATTGGTTCAAATCTGGCTCATCACTTACTAGTCATATGACCTTGGGCAAGGCACTTAATCTCTCTGTACCTTAGTTTCCTCATCTGTAAAATGGGGACAAATACAGTATCTTATCTCCTAGGGATATTGTGAGGAACAAGCAAGTTAACACACATAAAGCACTTATAAAAGTCCCTGGAACACTGTGTAAGTGTGGCCTATTTCTATTACCAAAGTTCTTGGTCCCAACAGAATCTCTCTCTTACTACCTCACATGACTCCTGCCAATAGTCACCCTCTACCCGCCATCTAAGCTGAGCACGTTTGTGGGTATCTGCTCCTATGATCAAAACCAGCTTAACTATAACAGCTGAAGAATACTTTCAATTTTTTTTTTTTTTTTTTTTTTTTTTGAGACAGGGTCTTACTTTGTCACCTGGTATGAGGGCAGTGGTGTGATCATAGCTCACTGCAACCTCCATCTCCTGGGCACAAGTGATCCTCCTGCCTCAGCCTCCTAAAGGTTTTGCTTAGGATCACAGGTGTGAGCCACGGCATCTGGCCACTTTCCAACTTTTTGAAAGTGAAAAAAGATCATTCTTTCTTCTGAATTTTATAAATTTAGGATTAAAAAAAATCAGTTGTATGCCTCATGGGAACAAAAATGAGCAGAGGGAAAGAGGAGCCTTTCAAAGCATGTGCATTGTCAAAACAAGTGATCATGCATTTGGGCAAACAGGGAGAGGAGCTGTACTTTGACTTCCTCCAGGGATACTTCTTGGGCTGATGCTGCATGGGAAATGTTTTCCTTTATGGAAGGTTTTCCTTCCATAAAGGAGCAACTTCTATATTGAATGAACATGCTGAGGCTTTGCTTTCCTCAGCTGTGCTGTCTCACTTACTCCCTGAGGCTGGAGGTCTTCTCTTCTCCATTTCTTGGCAAATGTGGAATTCCTGCAGCATCAGCACTCACCCCTTGTAATTTTCTTTCTCTTTTTAAAAATTTTTAATTGTTATGGGTGCATAATAGTTGTATATCTTTATAGGGTATGGGCGGCGATGTTTTGATACAGGCATACAAAGTGAATTAATCAAATCAGGGCAATTGGGGTATCCATCACCTCAGGCATTTATCATTTCTTTGTGTTAGGAACATTCCAATTCCACTCTTTTAGTTATTTCAAAGCATACCCTAACTTACTGTTGGTTATAGTCACTTTGTTGTGCTGTCAAATATTGTTCATTCTATCTAACTATATTTTTGCACCCATTGACCATCCCCACTTTATCCCCCCCCCCAATGCTACCCTTTCCAGCCTCAGAGTACCATCATTCTACTCTCTGTCTCCATGAGATCAATTGTTTTTAATAATTATCTCCCACATATGAGTGAGAACTTCTGAGGTTTGTCTTTTTGTGCTTGGCTTATTTCATGTATCATAATGTTCTCCAGTTCCATCCATGTTGCAAATGGCAGAATTTCATTCTTTTTGTGGCTGTATAATATTCTATTGTGTATATGTACCACACTTTCTTTATGCATTCATCTGTTGGTGGACACTTGGGTTGATTCCAGATCTTGGCTATTGTGAATAGTGCTGTACTGCAATAAACATGGTTGTGCAGATGTCTTTTCGATATACTGAGTTTCCCTCTTTGGGATATACCCAACACTGGGATGACTGGGTCATATGGTAGTTCTATTTCTAGTTTTTTTTAGAAACTTTCATACAGTTCTGCATAGTAGTTGTACTAATTTACAGTTCTACCAACAGTTTACAAGTGTCCCCCTTTCTCCACAGCCTTGACAACATTCATTATTGCTTCTCTTTTAGATAAAAGCCATTTTAACTGGGGTGAGATGATATCTCATTGTAGTTTTGATTCGCATTTCTCTTATGACTAATGATGTTGAACTTTTTTCATATACCTGTTGGCCATTTGTTTTTCTTTTGAGAAATGTCTATTCAGATCTTTTGCTCATTTTAAATTGGATTATTTGATTTTTTTCCTATTGAATTTTTGGAGCTTCTTATATATTCTAGTTATAATCCCTTGTCAGATGGATAGTTTGCAAACTCCCTTTCTGTGGGTTGTCACTTTGCTTTGTTGACTATTTCCTTTGTTGTGCAGAAGGTTTTTAATTTGATGTGATCCCATTTGTCCAATCTTGCTCTGGTTGCCTGTGCTTTGGGGAATTACTGAAAAAGTCTTTGCCCAGACCAATGTCCTGAAGCATTTCTCCAATGTTTTCTTTTAGTAGTTTCATAGTTTTAGGTCTTAGATTTAAGTCTTTAATCCATTTTGATTGATTTTTATATATGGTGAGATATAAGGTCTAGTTTCATTCTTTTGCATATGGATATCCAGTTTTCCTTGAACTGTTTATTGAAGAGTCCTTTCCCTACTTTATGTTCTTGACAATTTTATCAAAGATAAGTTCACTATAAATGTACGGATTTATTTCTGGGTTCTCTATTCTGCTCCATTGGTCTATGTGTCTGTTTTTATGCCAGTACCATGCTGTTTGGGTTACTACACTCTGTAGTGTATGTCATTTGAAATCAGGTAATGTGAGTCTTCCAGTTTTGTTCTTTTTGCTCAGGATGGTTTGGGCTATTCTGTCATCCCATGTAATTTTGTTGCAAGTGTTTGCAAGTTTTGGCAACAAAGTTCCATTCTCAAATACTGAGAACAAAGTTCGTGGAGATGGCCCAAGGTGACTAACATTATTCCTAAAAGCTATTTTGTCTTCTGCACATGGAGAAAGGAGACC